GAAAGGACAGTTTCTGAAAAAGCGAAAACAGCGAGATCTCCAAAACGTCATTAAAGACCTAAGAGGTACCGAGGACGGTCCTCACTAACGTGGGAAGGAGTTATCGCTAGACACTTAAGTTGAGCATCACAGCGACGGTTCTCGTCAGGCCGTGGGAAACCACTTACGCTGACGTTGCGTATCGAACACCTGCAGTCACCAGCATCGGAAGCATTTACTTCAACCACTCTTACTTAGCAATTGCCACCTTAATATCCTGGGAGTACGATTATGCTGATATGCAGAATGAGCCCCTGCATAGAAGATAGAAATTCCACAAGAACATCACATCATCCTCTGCAGCGCGGTTAGCAGCGACTACAGCAACATCAGCGGGCAGTAAAGGTTATGATAAGGTATTCGTAGCGGTTATGATATAATCTTTTCACGAAGCTCACAAAATAAAGATTTGAAAACTTGTATACATATATAAAGGTACAAAGCCGTATGCATGCATGCATAATCATTTGTACCGCATTTACTCTCACTCTACATATGCCTAAATGTATGCAACCATTTGAAACAAATAAACACAGGGTGCTTCTAATGAAATTAAATTTTCTTCAAAAAATAAATTACAAACTTGCAGGAAATTAAATTTCTTATAAAATTTATTTAGTATCTTCGTAATTTTTCAGTACTTCATTTATCTGTTAGACTGAACGTATTCTCCCTACAAAGCTTATTGATTTTATGATGAAATTTCCAAAACGTAAATTTTGAAATACTTGTCTATATTATTAAACGTGCGATATGTCGATACTGTGTGCATAAGCACTTATCATGAAAAAAGCACTATTTTTTAGACATATTATCGCCCCCTGGTGTATACAGTGATTCCCAAAGTGGCCCAGGTGGACCCGTGGCTTGAAAAAGGGGGTTCAAAGTTGTAAGTGGGTATCCGCGAAAATTTATCTGGTTCGATGGCAAAGAACAAAAATGTTCGCTTGGCTTTCCAATCAATGCAGGAAAAATTTTGGTTTTCATCTTTTCCTCCCTTAATTTTTGTATCTTCTTTCGATGTATTAGATTTTGCCTACATTGTATTATCTAATATACTACTCAAAAAAATTGAAGGAAATATAATAATTACAAAATTTTGTCTACATTGATAGGAAAGTCAAGCCAACATTTTTTTTCTTTCCCTCGAAAGAAGAAAAATTTTCGCGGACATCTACTTACAACTTGGACCCCCTTTTTCACGCCACGAATCACTGTTTTACACCGGGGGCGATGGTTAAAGTTCGAAAAAAATAATTCAAAGTGCCCTCTGTTCTGGCTTCTCCGATGAAAACTCCGAACAGTTTACATTTTGATAAGCTTTTGAAAATCGTAAAATGGTCAAGCAATGTATAGATTAGTCCATTAAGTACTAAAATAACGGTTTTTTTTCTAATAAGATTATGAAAAATCTATTTCCATGCTGTAGTCGACCCTGCCTACAATCTGCACTGTGTTATGTTTCGCGTGTATTCTCCAGTGTGTTTTATTCAAGCCAACTGAGGATGAAATATATAATCATGGCAAGATAACCAGGAAGGCATGAACACCTCCATTTAATTTCATTTCATAAAAATACGCTATTATTATTTCGATCCCGTTGTGTACAAGTGTATTAAATCACACATTTTCTACATACACGCATGGCGCAATAAACAGGTGAAGTAATAAGGCAGCATTCTCTGTTCATTTTCTGACATTCGACTGCCTTATATTTCACAATGTTGCATTTGTTCATTGAACGTTTATGTGTTGCTTCTTTGGAAGAGTTTACATATATTTTGGGGGCAATTTGGCCATTTATTATTTGCTTGCGACATTGTTTTTTTCCGTTTGAATTTTTGTGAAAAAGTACTATATAATTTATTTGTGATTAAAAATTAATAAGCTGTGTAATTTGCAGAAAAACGTCGACTTACGAAGGCGTTCGTTTTTTTCCATTAACAGAGGAGCAGGTTAGGCTAAATAAGTTGGATATTTCAAATATTTAATGGCGAAGTAATTTCTGGCACCACCAACTGCCCCAAAAAATTATTATCCCACAGCTATGAAATATACCTTCCAATAAATGTGAAAAAGCTATATTTTAAGTACAGGATGCGTTTCCGTATAACTTATTTAAATAAGCGCTTGAAAGGCAAAAGCTATAATCGATTAATCTTTATAAACCTCCCATATATACCTTTTTAAATTTATTTATTTAAACCTTATAACCATTAATATCATTTGTTAAGTTTTTGTATTCACGTTGCTGATTTCATGTATCTAATTTCATTTCTTCATAAAATTATCAAGATTTGTCTATGCATCCGTCGCACAGTGGTCCAATCTGCTTTATTAGGGTAATTTAATTATTATATTAAGAACTAAGATAGATATCGGGATGAAATTTCGCACAAATTATGTCTGAATGACTAACAACTTCTGCTCATAAAATGGGCAAGATCGAATGGCGACTACGCCTGCCAACCATAAAATTAAAAAAAAATAATAATAATAAAAAAAAATTAGTATGATGTGCATTTGACCGGACCTACCTATGGTTATGTATTTCAACCCGCACAATTCGAATTTGAAGTCAGTTTGGCTAATATACCTCCTAAATTTCGAGAAAACTTCACAAAAAAAAAACCGGAAAAATAGTGAAAATCGGTAATAAAAAACGGTTTTTTGAAGTTTTCTTGAAATCTAGGAGGTATGTTGGCCAAACTGAATTCAAATTCGGATTCTGCGGGTCGGAATGCATAACCATAGGTAGGTCCGGTCAAATGCACATCCACTAATTTTTTTTGAGTGCCGGTGTTATTAGTGCGGGAGCTTCTTCAGGCGAAATACCTTTAGGACTCTTCTTTGCCAATATGACCTCCTTAATAGCAGTACCTCTTTCTGGAGAAGCACTTAAAAGCTCATTAAGTAGCGTAGCTGAAGATCTAATTTTTTGTTCATTAGCCAAAAAGAAATACATCTGGTTCTATAACTTTCGAAAGCTCATTAGCTTGCTTCATTTTAACGTTTTGGCAACAATCTTCAAAACTTTTAGCTGGCCTACCAGCAGAAAATGTCGGCTTACCAAACTTAGAACACACAAATTGTGATAAGTCTATTTCAAATTCGAGCCAATCTTTATTTGGAGTAACAAACCGCTCTCTTTTTCGGAAAAGTTTTGTCACTTTAGGTCCAAATTCTGAATTAACTTCGCACGTATGATTTCAATTTAACAAATTTGGTTCTATCACTAGATCATAAACTGATATTCCCTGGTACAAAATCAATTATTCCATCAAGTCTTTCACTTTTAGGGGACGACAGCCAAAAATCAAAAATTTCCTGTCTTGAAGTTTTAGGAGTCGTTTTGAAAATTGAAAATAAATGTATGGGTGCCGCAGCTAGCGGCAGAATTTTTTTGTGGATTCTATTAGCATATACATCAATTGAGAGAATAGGTATAGTAAGTGATCTATATTCCGCCATATGAGAAAGATTTCTTCTACAAAACAAAAAAGAATAATAATTTGGTACTCACCAATAAGATTAAAACTTTATCAGCTCCAAAAAAATATGTGCGTCCACTTCGTTAATAATTCAACATTTCCTGAATTTTCTTACTTAAGACAATGACGGAGAAAGAAATGAAGTTAAAACAAAGTTTCTTTAAACAAATTACTGAGCCTTAAAAATACTCAGTTTTCGTTGCAAGCACAATTTCATTTTTCACTTATTGCTTACTATGACATTTGGATACCGTTATGTTTATATGTAGCCAAATTTTTTCAAACAAAGTTGTGTTTACTCTTAAGTAGACAATATTCTTGCATATTTGATAAAAATTTTATTGAAAAATTACAAACAAAAAATTTAATTAAATTACCCTAGCCTTGCACATTGGACCACTGTGAGTCGGTGAGTTCTTAGAAGTATTTTTTGTGCAAAATATTTTTACTAATTTGACCATTGGAAAAAGTGCTTTTGCCTCAAGACATCGAGTTACGGCATTAACTGGCACTTTTTATTGGTTACCACATTGGCTACTTTTATTAAGATTTTGTATGCATTTGTCGGATTATTTGAGAAAAATCTTTTTTACCAATTTCTCCATTTTAACATATTTTTTTGCATAAAAATATCCGTTTATGCGGCATTAACATGGTGTTTTGAAACCGTAGTTGGACCTTTCATCTAGAATGATATAGACACTTCTCAATCTGGGTGGTCTTCAGTATCTACGTCCTTGATTGCTTTTCTTTGTGTGAACTACTCCGTGGATTTAGTACATTAAATTACTCTTATTAGCGTCAAAATCTTTGTTTAAGTTTCTAACTATTATTTATTACATTGGCTTTATATCCTTAAAGCTCTTTGTTATTGTTGGTATTTGTCTTTCAATACTAAATACAATCGTAATCCACAAAATGGTTTAGCAGTACATATTTAATTTGAATAAAAAATAATGAATTATGCTTAAATTTAGTTAATTTAAATAGCTCTTTTATTTTTCAAATACGGATATTTCAAAAGTAATTTTTAATATTATCTATGTATATGTATTAAATAAAAAACTTCAAATTATTATCCCTTTTGTAGTCAAAAAGGGTAATTCTTTCTAATATTTCTGGCCTTTACCCTTTAAAAAAAGCTAAGGGGCGAACACTTCCAATAAGGTAGTGTCAAATCTTCCTTCTCGCTCTTATTACTACACCTGGTATTATTCCATGATTCAATGGCTGCGTTTCTTTATACATTCCGGATAATCCCATTTCACAGCCGGAATAAACAGAATGCGTTTGAAATAGACGTCAACATATCAACAAGATATGACATTAGAGGTTTGACACTCCCTTAGCTCCCTTACAAAAGCATTGCACACTCACACGAACCCACACACAGTGCCTTGCTAAGGGAGACGATTTTGTCAAGAGGAAGCGAGAAAACTGCTTTTTGAGCAAACCTTTTATTATTGAATCATGGTATTATTCCACTATGATATACACTTACAATTCATACTATGGGTATTCATGGAATTGCATAAATGCCTCGTAATCCGTAAACCTCGTAAATAAACCGATTTTCCATACAAAATTATGTAAGCTTACGAGTCTTGCATGGTAACGAGGCATTTACTTGCGCGTTTTGAAGAATATCTTTATTATTTTTTTAGTTTCTTATTGCATATTCCACCAATCACGAATTGCTCCAATATACTTTCTTACAGATACGTTATATTTCTTTTACTTGCAGACTGCTAGTTCACCTAGGCGCGTTGCCGTACCTGTACTGGTAAAGGATGGAAAGCCGTGCGCCGGAAATAACAGTGCTTCACAATCGCAGCAAGTAAGTGCTGCTAGTAATGCTCCAACTAACAGCAATAACACCAATGTAAACGAAAGCAATGCGTCCACCGAAGTGAATAACAGCATTGCAAGTAGCTTAAGTCTTATAACAGGAGAAACAAATAACTCCCATTCTCCAGATACATCAAATTCACTAATTGCCAGTTATAATGGGACGATCGTAGGACATAATCAAATACAGCAACAATCTTGCAATAATTCTTTAATGTCAAACAGTTTGGCAATGGCATATCGCAACCAGAATAATTTTATTTCAAACGGCCATCAACAACAGTGTACAGGGTATTTGCCTTTACAAGGCAGGGCGTGGTAAAAGGCTGCAGAGGAAGAAAAAAATAATTATGATATAACATACTTTTGCATGTTTTCTTCAATTCGGTTAGCCTGTTTATGAGTAATTTAATTTATGAGCAAGTTTATTTTTATAAATCTTATTACATAAACAGAAATTCGCATGAAAAGATTCAAAACTGATTAAATTTTGGTAAACTGCGTTTACTTAATTTGGTCGTGTGAGCCAAATCGCCTGTGTAATTAATCATTATTTATTTTTTACTTAACATATCAGCATAGCAGAATCGAGATAGACACATGTATTTAGATATACTAAACTAATTATAATTAAAAGGAATATCGATATAGCATTGTCTGATATTCCGTACACCCGTCTGCACACTGATCTATATCAGTAAAAATATAAATACATTGTACATATTTCAATAAAAAATTTTACTTGTTAATCTTTACTAAATACGGATACCGGCGCGAATAGCAAATGCTAAGAAATATATACATATGTACGTATGATAGTTTTAAATTTGTCCATAATGACCTTGATACAAAATATTTTTGAAGCGAAACTTCTTAGGCGGCGGTATCGCAAAAATGGAGAGTGAAATTTTTAAAACTGAAAATGTTACAAGAGTAAGAAGGAAGATAGAGTATAGAGAAGGGGGAAAAAGAATGAAAGCGACGTATGACGGATAAACAAAGCGATAGTGCAAACATCTTCAACGCGCATTCATACGAGTACCCAAGAATGATAGAATACAAGATTGCGCCAATGAGAGAGGATTTTTGAGCGTAATTTTTGCGTGACGTCATCTTGGTGCAATTGCGAGAGAGAAATGCCAAAACGCATACAAAAATATGTAAAAAATGCAGAAAAATGTGTTAGTTTTAATACTACATGGCCCAATTTTGCAGGAATCCATAAATATACAAAAATTTATTAATTAGGAACACGTAGCAATAACTTTGGACATGTAGCCCTTTAGGTTAGTACGATTTTTAGCACATGAAACAATTGATGTAATAACAGTGTTTACAATTTCACGTAGACCAAAAGGAGGGTGTGCAGCAAAGTGGATTTTTGGACTCGCCATTGTAAAAAGCCATGCAGAGTGCATATTTATATTTGTGGACGGTAGCCAACCACCATAAACTCCACAGCTTTTATTCGATGACTTTTGTACCATTTCCGAGAGGATGCATGAGTGTGGCTTCTTTGGAAACAAATATTCTATGTAACTAAAACATAATTTATAGCTGAACTTTTAAATGCATAATAATTTGGCCACTGTTTTGTATTAGGTACGTAACAGCGCGGTAAGATGCCGCTTGAATTAGCGCCTGGCGACCTTATCCACTGGTGCTTTACCTCATACCAGCACTAAAAATATTATTTTCAGTATCTTCACTAGCGAAGTGCTTCAGCGTTTCCTTGTTGCAGGCAGTCACAATTAATTACTCACCGCTTTCGGTACCATAAGCCATCAAATCCGTTTTGTTGTTCCATTCCATGCGCTCAATGTGTTTTGATATATTTTTTGAGGAGAATGAATGCAAATATTCAACAAACATATGTATCAGGGACCGAAAATAACAGTTACTTTTTTCAAGAGATAAACTTGGCCAGATATTTTTAAGTCGAAAACAAAAGTCCTTTCCTAATAATAAATAAACCGCTTATCCAAATTTAACAAGCTTGGTATCAACTAAAATAGCTTTAAAACTAAAATATTTAAACGAGAAAAGCCAGCAGAAAGCCAGCTATTGAAAAATATTTAAATAAAAAATGTTTTTTTAATTACCATAGAACAAACCTTGGGTTCGGTATTTGCATTTCTTTTGTATTAAATTATAACAAAATATAAATAGATAGTTATTTCTGTTTAAAAGCTATTTAAGTCCTCTTTTATTTGGTACCAAATTTGTTTAATTTGGATAAGCGGTTAATTTATTATCCGGGAAGACTTTTATTTCGAACTTAAAAAATATCTGGCCAAGTTTAACTGTTGGGAAAAATAATTGCTATTTACGGTCCCTGATACGTATAGTTAATACTATTTCACATTGTCGCTGAAATGCAAAAAACCCCAACTAACTAAATTTTTGTATTGCCTAAAACGATGTAGGGACTTATGATTCGATGAAATGCATCATAATCAATCAAAAAGTTAATTTTGGATTTTTAGTTAGTTACGGCTTTATGTATTTCAGCGACGATGTTAGTTAAGGCCTTTCTATACTAAACTAACGATATATTACATGCCAAGTCCCACTCCTCAATAGATATAAAATTCACCTTGAATTAATTCTTATTTAATTTGTGAACTTGGCTGTCGACTTATTTACATATAATTTCATCTTTATTTCGATGCGTGCTAATTTTGATAATTTACACAAAATTAAAACAAATGTTTTTGTTTCCGAGCTGAAAGACTAATAAAAGGAAACACGAAACTTNGTATCTTCACTAGCGAAGTGCTTCAGCGTTTCCTTGTTGCAGGCAGTCACAATTAATTACTCACCGCTTTCGGTACCATAAGCCATCAAATCCGTTTTGTTGTTCCATTCCATGCGCTCAATGTGTTTTGATATATTTTTTGAGGAGAATGAATGCAAATATTCAACAAACATATGTATCAGGGACCGAAAATAACAGTTACTTTTTTCAACAGATAAACTTGGCCAGATATTTTTAAGTCGAAAACAAAAGTCCTTTCCTAATAATAAATAAACCGCTTATCCAAATTTAACAAGCTTGGTATCAACTAAAATAGCTTTAAAACTAAAATATTTAAACGAGAAAAGCCAGCAGAAAGCCAGCTATTGAAAAATATTTAAATAAAAAATGTTTTTTAATTACCATAGAACAAATCTTGGGTTCGGTATTTGCATTTCTTTTGTATTAAATTATAACAAAATATAAATAGATAGTTATTTCTGTTTAAAAGCTATTTAAGTCCTCTTATATTTGGTACCAAATTTGTTTAATTTGGATAAGCGGTTAATTTATTATCCGGGAAGACTTTTATTTCGAACTTAAAAAATATCTGGCCAAGTTTAACTGTTGGGAAAAATAATTGCTATTTACGGTCCCTGATACGTATAGTTAATACTATTTCACATTGTCGCTGAAATGCAAAAAACCCCAACTAACTAAATTTTTGTATTGCCTAAAACGATGTAGGGACTTATGATTCGATGAAATGCATCATAATCAATCAAAAAGTTAATTTTGGATTTTTAGTTAGTTACGGCTTTATGTATTTCAGCGACGATGTTAGTTAAGGCCTTTCTATACTAAACTAACGATATATTACATGCCAAGTCCCACTCCTCAATAGATATAAAATTCACCTTGAATTAATTCTTATTTAATTTGTGAACTTGGCTGTCGACTTATTTACATATAATTTCATCTTTATTTCGATGCGTGCTAATTTTGATAATTTACACAAAATTAAAACAAATGTTTTTGTTTCCGAGCTGAAAGACTAATAAAAGGAAACACGAAACTTAAGAATAATAAGTTTTATGAGAAAAAAATAATTCAGTTTTTTTAAGAAAACGTAGAAAAATACTCAGCTAAAATTTTTTGTTTGCCAGATATACGTTTTATCAGTGCACTTGCACAATATTCCCGTTCGCAAAAGCTCCGCATTGATTATTGCGAATGCGAATGCGAATGTTAAATGTAAATGGTTTGTATGCACGTATGTACATAAATATTTATGTATGAACCCTTCAGTACTGCTGGAGTCAATCGCTTCTTTTGAGCCNTAATTGCTATTTACGGTCCCTGATACGTATAGTTAATACTATTTCACATTGTCGCTGAAATGCAAAAAACCCCAACTAACTAAATTTTTGTATTGCCTAAAACGATGTAGGGACTTATGATTCGATGAAATGCATCATAATCAATCAAAAAGTTAATTTTGGATTTTTAGTTAGTTACGGCTTTATGTATTTCAGCGACGATGTTAGTTAAGGCCTTTCTATACTAAACTAACGATATATTACATGCCAAGTCCCACTCCTCAATAGATATAAAATTCACCTTGAATTAATTCTTATTTAATTTGTGAACTTGGCTGTCGACTTATTTACATATAATTTCATCTTTATTTCGATGCGTGCTAATTTTGATAATTTACACAAAATTAAAACAAATGTTTTTGTTTCCGAGCTGAAAGACTAATAAAAGGAAACACGAAACTTAAGAATAATAAGTTTTATGAGAAAAAAATAATTCAGTTTTTTTAAGAAAACGTAGAAAAATACTCAGCTAAAATTTTTTGTTTGCCAGATATACGTTTTATCAGTGCACTTGCACAATATTCCCGTTCGCAAAAGCTCCGCATTGATTATTGCGAATGCGAATGCGAATGTTAAATGTAAATGGTTTGTATGCACGTATGTACATAAATATTTATGTATGAACCCTTCAGTACTGCTGGAGTCAATCGCTTCTTTTGAGCCGCTACTGCTCCGACTTCTAGGTAAGTAGCTACTCTATTAACCCGTGGTAGTGCACATGGTGGTGCAGAGTCGAACCAGTCGGAACCAGCGAAAAACTACGACAGAGGGAGCCGATAAATCACGCAAGTGACTACTTTAGTAACTGGCGATAGTGCAGAGAGAGCCGATGGTGACTACCGCCTAGAACATTGCCTTGTAAAAGCAATCGATGAAATACCCTGCAAGTAGTCGGTCGGTGATTGACGGAGTTTACCAGGTAGCTACCGATTTATCAGTCCTATAGTCGCTCCGCCGTACTTCAGGGAACAAACTCATTTCGCATTTCAGCTCTGCCGCTACCAAGCAATATACATATGTATAAATGGAGCAAGCGTGCTTCGTGTAACTGCAGCCATCCGTACATATGTACATATGTTTGTATGGATATATCTATGATGAACAGTGTACCAACCCCGTTTTACCTTCCTTTTATTAGCTCGGGATGTAACTAAGTAATATTGATGCGCCTAAAAGATGCAGCGATTTCTATTCTCATGTTACATACCTGATGCCAGTACGAATTGCAATTATAATAGGGAGGTTTTAGTTTTTTAAACTACAATTTTTTATTATTTTAGTGTGGTAGAATCGGCATAAAATGTGGTAGATTTGAATAAGATGTGGTAGATTTTCCAATTCATATTTGAATTGGGTATACATATCGCACACCGTCGTCAAAAGAGGCACAACTCAAAAATTAGATCGGGAAATATAACTGCTGGGGGATCATTCAGATTCAACGCAAATTTATGCAAAAACAAGTATGACATTAGGTTTCTAGTTAGAGAATATAATCACGAAGAAAAAAATATTTTCTTTAATTTGAGAAAAATCCTACATATTTATTTATGCAAAAAATTCCACAAAATTATTTTTCCATTGCATAATACTTTAGCAAATATAAAAA